TAGGAATTTCACGGAGGACCTCAACCCAAGCTGAAAGTTGTGATGGCTATCGGGAAGCCTCATGTGCAGCCTACTGGTAGGGCAAACTGTCAGATCCTCAATACCTCCCGAGAACACCTTGTCGAGCCTGTAAATAGACCACATGAGCCGACGAAGCGACTCTTGAGTCACAGCATCCACAGCAGATCTCTCGTAATTGAGGCGCTTTGTAAAAGCAACCCTAGCTGCGATGGACAGGAGAACCCACACGTCCCCTGAGAATTTCAATGCGGAACGAAAACATATGACAAGTACCAGGGCTTGGAGGTTGGGGATAGAAATGTCGCCTATGCGGGTGACGAGGCCGTTCTGGACCTCGTCTATCCATCGATGAGAAGCTGAGCTGGCATCATCGTCGCGGGGGGACATCAAGCGAAGGCCTGAGGCGCAAATGGCTTTGAGCAATTGTGGTTCAAGATGCCCCCGGCTCCACTCGCTGAGTACAGTTGCTCTATGGAGGAAGAGGCAGTCGAGAAAGTCCGTCTTGTCGAAGTATGTGTGGATGTAGTTTCGAAGATCGTCTTTTTGTTCCAGCTCAAACGAACTGACTGACGGTTAGTCTGCAGTTCTTGTGTAACAGCTCATTGACAATTTGACACACCGTCCCGAGTCATGGCTTGGACTGGTCGTATTCGCCGGTGGCTGAATGGGCTCATGGCTTTCCATTTGAGTGCTGGCAGGCGATATGAGTGCTTCGGGTGTTGTAGCTGCTCGTTCCGTCCTTCTCGGAACTGGGAAACGACACTCGAGGCCGTGTGAGTCGCATCGTCGACACGGATACTCCCCCGAGCACTTGGCCTTCGTAGCCCGACAAGTTGCACAGGCGTGAGAGATGCGTCGACGCTTCGTCCCGGCTTGGGTCAGCTCCTGTGAGGGAGCGTCGATCTCGGGCGGAGAAATGCCATTGACTGCCGTGTAACTACAGACAAAGTCGAGTCGCTCGCAGCGCATACATCCAGATGGACGGCGGTCACATTTGACCTACACGGCTCCTTTCAGCACGATTTTCTCTCCAACTTGCCAAGAGATACAGACCTTGCGGGCTCGGCATTGCTTGCATGCTAGCTGCTTAACTGGTGACCCAGCCGCCTGGGTTTCGGGGAGTGAGTCGACCTCTGCTGGGTCCATGTTTTCCAGTCCAGTCCAACGGCGAGTACGAGATCCGGCAATGGTGCGAGTTTCGGGGAGTTTAAACGGGGTGGATCCTGTTATGAATATCCGTCGTCCTATCACGTCATTCCGGTTCGGATGGTGTTGGAGCGAGATCCGGGACTACGGGGAAAACGATATCCGGATCTACCGATTTGAAGTACGACATCCGGCCACACAAACGTCCAATTGTTGGGGATTGAGGAGACCAACTGAAATTAAAACATTGAATTCTGTGTTAGACAAATCACTCAAGCCCAATGCTACTCTATCACCACATTCTCTCTCATAAGTCGTAAGCTCGGCTTCGGAGCCAAATGCCGTCACACCAGCTTCCGGCAAACCATTGCCGCTCAAGGTCGACTCCAAAAATCGAGGCAACAAGCCCAATTAAATTATTTTCATGCCAGATCAACTCCGATATGACTCTCTTGGGTGCATAGTTAGCCCTAAATCAGGCATCTAAACGCCCAACATTGACGCCTTTGCCGCCCGCGGGAGCCTCTTCACCAACTGTTTCACACAAGCCTCCATGTGCTCTCAGTCGCGATGTAGCATGTTCACGGGCACATATCTGCACGTCAGCGGCCACTGGAGTCTCGATAATCTCATCAAGCCGCAGGTGCTCTTCGTGTCATTGATCTTCCCCCATTGCCTATTTCAAGGCGAGAAGCCGTACTTTTCCATGTACGATCGCACCAAGATCCCCTGAATCGACGCTCTCCCGGAGAAAAGGACCGGCTATGAGCCGCGGTACATGAAGTCAATCCGCAAGCGTTACAGAACTACCAGAGCCACACCGGAAATCTGGAAAGAGATTAAATCCACCTACTACGGCATGATTTCACGGCTTGACGACTAGTTCGGGCGCGTAATGAAGCGCTTAGATGAATTGGGGCTCTGGAAGGGCACCGTGACTATGTTTTATACAGACCATAGCGAGTATCTAGGAGATCACAGTTTGATTGAAAAACGGCCGTTGGGGCTCTCAGAGACCCTAGTCCACGAACAGCTCATCATTGGTGGCGCAGGATTGCCCGAGGGCAAAAGGACCGATGCAATGACAGAAATGGTCGACTTGGTTCCAACAATGTTGGAGATATCTGGCGTTGGAGAGACGTTCGCCCACAACGGCCTCTCCTGGATTCCACTGCTTTGCGGTGACGCGACAGAGCACAAGACATACGCATTCTCCAAAGGCGGGTTTCTCACCTCAGAAGAGCCTCTATTGGAGCATGCTTCGTATCCATATGACCTGAAAGCCAGTCTTCAACACGAGGATACAGCTCTTGTAGGCAAGGCGAGATCACTTCGTGATTCGACTTGGACATATGTGTATCGGCTGTATGAGCTGACCGAGTTGTATCATCGCTAAAACGATCCTTGCGAGCCGCACAATCAAGCCCAGGACCCTGCACACCAGGAACTTGTTGATCGACTTGAGAGCGTTATCCTAAAGTGGTTGTTGGAAGGGACAGATGTGATGCTTTGGGCGCCGGACCCGCGATTCCCAGAGGTTAAGTTGAAGACGCTGAGGGAACAGATGGAGGGGAGACTTAAACACGTGCACAAGACATAGGGCTGTGAGATGTTAGATGAGTTTCATTACGAAACTATAGTACAGACCTAAACGTCAACAGGCGTATGCTCTAAGCCTACAAGTATAGGTCGTGTTCGCTTGCGACTCTGACGCAAACATTTCTTCACACGTCTTATGGGATAGAGCAGAGCCCAAATATTGTTAAATTCATCGATATATTAAGCTGAAAACCGCCCAACGTAACATACACGGTCTGTGGGCTGCGTTGCCCGAACACCTTGGTGAGGGGGAAAGCAGCTGCAGAGGTCAATGGTATTGAAAGTATGGAGTTTCTAGCGAATTTCACGTGCATTCATCCCGTCGAGGAAATTTGTGGACTGAATCTCATTGGTGAACCTAGTCCGTCATCTAAAATTACTCGCCGTCCACCGTAGGTCAAGAAGAAAGGAAAGCATAGAGTGTCTTAATATCCGTCAGTCATCGTTAAAAAGGCATTATTGACATGCAGAATGCGTGAATTGGGGCCGAACTGCGCTCCAATCCCTGCGAGCGCAGTTACAGTTGCAGCAGCCTGTGGCTGAGTTGAGCCAGTGGTCTTGATCGTGTTGCTTATGGCAGCTGATTCTGCAGGTTTGGCGCAATAGTTTCGAACATGCAATGAGGCACCGGCAATGTATGAAGGGTCCTGCATTCGCGCGTTGACAGGGAGGTGGACATCGTGGGCGTTGTGGGGATTGTAGAGGTTGTAGGGGTTCTTGGCAAGGCAGGGCGAGTTTTGGGCGTGGGCGACTTCAAGGCGTGCTGGAGCGTTCCTGATCGAGGTATTCCTATGGTTTAAGAGCTCATGTTAATAAATGATTTGGAGGTTGCCCTCTCAGTATCAAAGGGGCAGGACGGATGAGAAGATTGTGTACCTCGGCAGGGAGCCTCGGACAACGTTGGTGGAAGAAGTTGACATGGACATGGTAGAAAATTATGAAACTTGAGTACGGGAAGCAAGGATTAGATAAAGTGGCAGTGAGAGAAAAGTGATAACTGGTTCTCGGGGGAGAAGATGGATCATGGGTGTCTGCACAGCACAAGCACTGCTGTTGAGAGTTGATTCTGACCGTAAGAAGAGGGGCATGAGTTCTTTTATATTTGCTTTGTCCAGACAAATGACAAGAACATCAAGCGTAGAAAATGGGCTCTGTACATGCGAAGGCAAGTGCCAGGCTGACCACCACGCTTCGACAGACTTGAGCAGTGTATGATTTGATGGCTGCACCCTGAAACACCGTGCATATCCAGGAGCCTTGATACCTCGGATATATGGGTCGAGTTTGATGTTGGCCAATGGAATATCTTTGGGGCTGCTGCAAGCTGTTGGGCTAAGCACATACGGCTGTGTTGATGTCGATCACGGGCACGAGTGGGCCAGCTCAACATTCCGAAATCGGTGATGCCACTAGCCTTCGTCATTTATTGACCAATCCTGTCACTGACATTGCGAAAGGGCCCTGCCGATCAGTCCTTTTCTTGGCGATGCCACCACTCTGCGTCGCTTCTTCATCCATCCATCCTGTCACGTTTGCAGATCAGGCCCTTGGACAACGAGTTTCTCAAGACCGCATAAGCACACCGGCGTTCTTTGCTACGTAGCTTGGTTGCCTACCAGTTTGCCAGTTTGGCATCTGTCATTGCACCATCCCTGTCTCCACTGCCGTTGCAAGAGGATATCGGCCTACTGATCGGTCATCTTTCCCAGAACAATCAAGTCTCTTTGGCCAATCATTTTACCCCAAGTCGTTTCTCCAAGATTGACAGACAGCTTTGCCAGCCCCGCCGGTCGCCTACGGCCCGCCCTCTTGATGCATGTCACCCACACGTACCCTTGAACGTTCGGAGATACCTTTCCCCAAAGACTCTGGATACTCTTACTTTGATAACTACCCAGGGCTGAAGGCAACTGGTTACACCGAAAACCAGCCCTTGGTGTTCTTGTTAAAGCAGTTTGCTCCGAGTGTGGCGTGCCGCTCTGTTGTACATGTCACCCCGAAAAATAGCTGTAAAAAAGAATTGTGTAATGACAGTCAAGTCGGGCCTCAGAGACTTGCTGTAACAGAAGCAAGTGGTGGGGAATGTGTCAATGACACAACGATTCGTATAATGTTAGCTCATCAAACAAACCGGTTGCGACGGAGTTGGCAGCGCGATGAACGAAGCTCCTTTGAGTTACGACTCACGTTCGCCCAATATGTACCTCATTTTTCTCGCCCCCAACCATCCGATCGGGCGAATGGTTTAGTGGTATAATACTCCCTTAGCATGGTTCTTCTGAAGAAATCTGGGAGTGGTCCAGGGTTCGATTCCCTGTTCGTCCAACACCGATGGTTTAATTCCATCTTGCCACAAAGCAACACCTCTCTTTTTGGCAATTCTTTCCCTGCGTCTCTCCGCATTAACATGAACTATGTGAGCACTAAGCTGTTTTTCTGCGAATTTTGGTATGCAATAGCTGGACTTAGTTGGAGAGTTCAATGCGAAGGAGGCAGGTTAGCTCCGACCGAAGTTATTATCAATGAATATGGACATGACTTTAGACGAGGCCATATCATCGCCGCTGAGACAAGCAAAGCCATCTTTGAAGCGAGAAGCTAGAGGGAGAGGTTATATAATTTACAGCTTAAACAATGGAGGAGAGCGCTAGATGCTTGAGTTAAGCGACTAGGGCAAGGAACAGTTGGTGTGTTTTGGTACACTAGGCATAATAACCTCAAGGTAAGCAGCCTTTCCCAAAATGACACTGGTCTAGCATGGTCTAGCATCATTAGAAATGTGCAAGATGAAGGACAGAGGTATCATAGATTTTCGGGTGTAGAATAGAATGGTTGAGGGGGTTGCCAAGCCTATCAATCCTCACACATAACTCACGAGCACCACCTTCGACGTTTGCTGTGACATGATGATGACTTCCTAAGAGGCGTACATGGGCGAGTGCTGAGGATAAATCAGATGAACATCTTTCAGTAAGAGACATGTGCATCGGTGGACATCGACAGCCCCTAAAAACTCCATTCTCTCACCACCCAAGCACATACGACCATAGCTCTTAGAAAATACGGGATCCCGTCCGCTCTCCCTTAGTCAAGCTGAGAAGCGGTGGATTAGTACTCGGGTCGGTGACGACCGGGGAATCCCCACTGTTGTATGTTCTTTTTTTGGATTCTGTTTTTTTATTACTTGGAGTGGCGAGCTGTAGTATTTTTGCTTGAGCAATCTTGAGGAGAAATAGCTAACGAATAGAGTGAAGAACTAGGGGCCACTATTACTTGTTACATTAAAGGGAACTTCAAGCTAGATCTTTGATAGTCACAAGTCACAGTGGGCTCATCTTGTGTTTAAGTCATTCGCTCTCCCAATGTGCTTAGGAGGTTTTCTTTTGGAGTTTTGTTACTAAACAAAAACCAATAACGTACATGATTAACTCTATGACCGACTTCTTAACATACAAGCTTCCTCCATTATCTACTGTTCCCTCTATCCCCGGTTCAGCGCTTAGGCGAAAATGGTAGTGGGAAGTCTGAGGCTGGCCAGAAGGCCAACAATGGGGCTCAGGACGGGGACAAGAACGCCGGTGACGGTGGCCAGGAGGGGGGTGAGGGCAGCGACCAGTGCAGGGAGAATTGCGGAGACAAGGCCAATGACCAGGATGATTAGACTGTTCAGGATGGAGAAGACCGAGTGGAGGAGAGAAGTGAGCTGAGGTCGGAGGCCAGTGACGTTGACAATGGTTCGGACGTTGGTAAGAACAACGGAGACGATGTTGACAACAAGCTTGACAAGCGTGGCGACCTCGCTCTCGGTGGCGTCAAGGGCAGAGGCAACGGTACCAGTGAGGGCGGTGACGACCTCGCTGATCAAGCTGCGGGTGTCCTGGATAAGGGGGACAGCGGCATCGGCGCACTGCTCAACGGTCAGTTTGCCGTTGTCAACCTGACTGGCAAGGGTTTCTTGAAACAGTTTGTTAGCTCAAGTTTGAACACAGTCGGGTATGAATGTATCTTACGGAAAGTAGTAGACTGGCCCTTGAGATCGTCGAGAAGGTTGGTGAGAATGGAGATCAGGTCCCCAACAGTGCTAAGCGAGACTGAGCGCTTTCCGGCAGCGGCGGTGATGTCGGCGTCAATCTTGCCGACCTCAACCTCCGCAGTGACGTCGACATTGGCAACGTTCTTCACACCGTCCTGGACGCCGCCGACTTGGTGAACAACGATATCCTTCGCCTCGCTGATGATGGGAGCCGCGAAAGCGGACAGAGCCATGGTGGCAATGGTGGTGAAGAAAGTGGCCTTCATTTTGAGAGAGTTAAGAGTGAAAGGTAGAGGGTATAAGGGTAATTTCAAGAGAGTTAAAGAGAGTGTTTTAAAGAAAGTGCTGAATGAATGTGGTTGTTGGATGTGATGAGGAGAGAAAGATGTTTGAAGGACGGCCGAGGATGTTTATATGAATGTCATCCCCTCTTCGACCTCATGGTAGAGGAACGATGATGTCGTCTGACCGATAGTTCAGGAGCTACCACAAAGGAGGCATACCACCATTAACGCGGATCGTTCTCTCGGCAAGTACTGTAGCAAATAGTGACATGCTTGCAAGGGCCTGGCAAACCCCACAAAGCCTTACCCCATTGACCAGATGTCGAGTCGATCGACGGGCTAAGGGATTGGGCACGGATCCATAAGGTGGGATGATCATTGACCTGAACGGGCTTAATCAACCACGAGGGAGGCGTTCAAGTGCCGTGTTCGCCCAGCCCATCGGCACTGACCGCCTAAAAGCCGTTGATGTTCAGCGTAGTTTCGCGGGCTAGTTGCTAGGTGCGTTTCACAAGCGGCATTCTGATGCCATTCTCCTTACTCAGTTGTGATTTGGAATTAGCAGCACGCCGGCTTCTTAGTTTGCTCCCCTATTGCGGAATACAATTGTAATTCACTTAGATCAGGCTCACGACGATGCAACGCTATAATGTCTGAAAAAGATAGAGTCAGCAGCCATTGCATCTTAAGCTCGGGTGGTTGGTTCTAATACCCACATCATCACGGCTGACGATGACAGCTTGCCAAGGAACCAAGCCATCGGCGAACCGTGGAACTGACATGGGATTAACCAGAATAATTATGGGGGCTTGGAAGCGTTTGAAGTGCCTCGCCTTGAGAGATAACATGAGGCAACCATAGCTCATGGTCTTGTTGATCCCGAGTTCGCGACCAGCTCATCCACCATCATGCAATTGAGATAGCCTGACAATTTCTCTTCGTTCTCTCTGCCGCCACTTGGAATCAACCAAAGTCTAGTACTGAAATTCGGGACCAGCAATTTGATGTTATGGCCATGGGGGAAGCATTTTTCGGGGAAGCTAAGGCAGCACAGGATACCTTGGGGCGCAAGAGTTTCCCTTTTCTCCCAAAGACTGTCCGCCTCAAGTTCGAGTCAAGGAGAAATTAGAGTCTGTCATTCTTATCGAGGGAGTCGATCGGAATTTGAGTCGGTGTTGATGTTGGTGCTGTGCTGCAAGGGAAAGAGATTGCCTCCCCTCAGCTTCGCCATTTTGGGAATGATGTTCAAAACACCGTCACATCTGGGGTGGCCCCACTGCCGATCTCGAGACAGCGCTAGTAGCTGGCATGTCAATGCGAAGTTGATGCGGCCGGGAGAGATGTCGTCATTGGCTCTGGTCATGGAAATCATTAAAAAGAAGAGCATCCCCTCTAGTCCGCTTTATTACTATTAGGGTCAAAAGAGACAACGCCATGGTGATATGAAGCTCTTCAGCTCTCTGACTACCACATCGGTCAACGGCAATGGAATACAACCGAATACAATTTTGAAACCGCCCTTGTCCTATCATGAGCCATCCCAAGGCCGCTTTCAATGAGTGGCTTCACGGAAGACATGACTGTCGGTTTTCCTACTCCAATCTCTTAAGCTCTCGACCCAAGCTCGAGTGTCTAGAAATTCCAACTGCCGACAAGTCATAAACAAGTGCAGTACCACACGTGTAATGATTAGTCCAGGTCTATTGCACGTATTACGGTTGCCATCCTCGATGATGACGCCTCTGAAGTGTCTGCACCACACCAGGGTCACCAGAGATGAGATAGCCCGAGCAAGGATTAGAGACCCTTCATCTAATAGTCACATTCACGCTAGCTGTTTTCTTGTTATTGTCAAGTCTTTCTTCTAGGTTGAAGACTACGATGGACAATCCATACACGCGGAGCAAATGGTAAGGCTGTTTTGTGAATTCCGCAAAATGACGCGAATTTTAATTGGGAAAAGAGATGAAAATCCTAGCATCCCGCTATAATCTAATTCTAAAAATCTTTGCTTGTACTGTACACTTGCAACCCCTCAAACATCTCGATTCTTCAGAGGCCTGCTCTCTGGAATGAAGCAATTGGAATTGCCGAGCTCGACACCTGGTACAAAAGACTCAACTTCTCGTTGCATGGCTCTCTGACTTGCTCGCTTGCGCTCCAAGGTCCGAGTTGACCTGTTTAGGCCTTGCACTTGCTGGCCTTGGTGGTGGTGGACACAGCAAGGGTGGTGGAGACACTGGCAGACTGGTCGGCGACAGGAGTTCCGGTGGGGTTGCTGCCGCTGGGAGGAGTGCCGGAGAAGTCGCCGCCGGGGCCGCCGGAGCCACCACCGGAGCCACCGCTGCCGGAGTTGGAGTTGGCGACTCCGCCCTCGGCGTACAGGTAAGCGGCGGGGGTGACAGACGAGGACAGGGTCGAGTTGATGCCAAAGGCCAACCAGGCGAAGAGGCCGTCGGAAACGCTGTCTCCGAGCAGGGTGTACTCCATGATGGGGTCGACGCCCTCGGTGGCGACCTCCTCGCTCAGGATCGAGTCGTCGGCGTTGGTGGTGATCTCCTGGGTGTTGGTGTTGTAGGGGGCGGTGAGCTCGACCTCGGTGATGAGGTCCTGGTCGAAGAAGGCCTGGCCGACGTGGCTGGCGTAGTTCTCGCTGCCGAGGGTCTGGTTGGCGAGCAGGGTGGCGTTGGTGTGGATCATGATGTGGATGTGGGTGGCACGGCTGGTGTAGTGGCCGGGGAAGATGGACTCGAACTGGGCGACGCCATCCTCGTCGGTCAGCTGGATGCCGCGCAGCCAGGTGTTGTCGATGTTGGTCTCGTCGGAGCTGTCTCCGTTGCCGCTGGCAACGATGCCGGAGTAGACACCGGTGGAGTTGCAGTGCCACATCTCGAGGTAGACATCGGGGATGGGCTCGCAGGTCTCGACGTCGATGACCTGGTAGTCGAGGACAATGTCCAAACCTCCCTGTTCCTCGACGAGGTTCTCTCGGACGTACTCGCCGGCAA